GAACTCGAGACTTTTCGGTTTAGCAACCATGAGCTTTTCCGACTCGACCACGCCGACCCCTACAATCAGAAGCAGCATCTTTTATATAAAGTGCTTTTCTAAATTGCTACCGCTAAAAATATAAGTAAAGCCACAAGCAATACATTTAAAATGTTTTGGCTTTTATTCTTCTTTAGGCTTTTAGAAACTGCAATTTAAAAAATCAAACGCATAATAAATTAATTATATTTAACAGGTTGTTATAACAAAAGAAAATATATAACTTATTTTAAAAATCCATAAGCTGCCAACTACTAGATATCAACTCTTTATAACTTATACGTTTTAAGTGCTGGAAAGCAAAATTTTAAGCTTGTTATTTTTTTAACATTTTGCTCCTTAAAATTTGGTAAAACTTCTAACTTCTTTGGTTTCAATATTATATATTACACTAAATGTAGAGCCATAATTAATAGTTTTTTATTTGAAGGTGTAGATCTATGTAGGCTAATGTTAATAATTTTATTTTAGATGCCAGGAGCAGCACTCAGATAAATCGAAAGTTGAGACCAGCTTGACACAGGCCTGACCATACTTCATGTGCCAAGGTCAAAGCCACGGGTCTCATCCAAAAAGTTACTTTAGGCCAACTGTTTAGCAACAAAAGAAAGTCTAATCAACAAATCATTAAGCGTGACAGGCACATAACACTTGCCAATACATTATGGAAGTATCATTAATATCTAAACATAAGGGATTTTTACACAAAATATTTAAATATTTGGAGTATCTTTAATAACTGACCATAAGAGATTTTAAACAAAATATTTACAAATTTGAACAATACCTGAACATTAGAGATTTGAAACACAATATTTGAATATTTCAAGTATCTTTAAAACTTGAAAGATTAGAAATAAAATAATTAAACAATAGAAGTATCTTTGGAAACATGAACGTAACAAATTTGAAACAAAATATTTACACATTATAAGTCCCTTTAAAACCTGAACATTAGAGATTCGAAATAAAACATTTGATTTCAAAAAGCAACAATATTACAATTTAAAATTGTTTGCTATGGTGCCTAGGTCAGTTAAAAACAAAATTTGAATATATAGATATCTAGTTTTCTGAACAAGAAAAACGTAACTATTTTGGCTATGGAACTGGGCAAAAATCTTCTGCTGAGATTTTTACACAAAATATTTAAATATTTGGAGTATCTTTAATAACTGACCATAAGAGATTTTAAACAAAATATTTACAAATTTGAACAATACCTGAACATTAGAGATTTGAAACACAATATTTGAATATTTCAAGTATCTTTAAAACTTGAATGTAGAAATTTTAAACAAAATATTTAAACATTAGAAGTATCTTTAAAATGTGAATGTAGAGATTTTAAACAAAATATTTACAAATTTGATCAAATATTACAATTTAAAATTGTTTGCTATGGTGCCTAGGTCAGTTAAAAACAAAATTTGAATATATAGTTTTCTGAACAAGAAAAAAGTAACTATTTTGGCTATGGAACTGGACAAAAATTTCCTGCTGAGATTTTTACACAAAATATTTAAATATTTGGTGTATCTTTAATAACTGACCATAAGAGATTTTAAACAAAATATTTACAAATTTGAACAATACCTGAACATTAGAGATTTGAAACACAATATTTGAATATTTCAAGTATCTTTAAAACTTGAAAGATTAGAAATAAAATATTTAAACAATAGAAGTATCTTTGGAAACATGAACGTAACAAATTTGAAACAAAATATTTACACATTATAAGTCCCTTTAAAACCTGAACATTAGAGATTCGAAATAAAACATTTGATTTCAAAAAGCAACAATATTACAATTTAAAATTGTTTGCTATGGTGCCTAGGTCAGTTAAAAACAAAATTTGAATATATAGTTTTCTGAACAAGAAAAACGTAACTATTTTGGCTATGGAACTGGGCAAAAATCTTCTGCTGAGATTTTTACACAAAATATTTAAATATTTGGAGTATCTTTAATAACTGACCATAAGAGATTTTAAACAAAATATTTACAAATTTGAACAATACCTGAACATTAGAGATTTGAAACACAATATTTGAATATTTCAAGTATCTTTAAAACTTGAATGTAGAAATTTTAAACAAAATATTTAAACATTAGAAGTATCTTTAAAATGTGAATGTAGAGATTTTAAACAAAATATTTACAAATTTGATCAAATATTACAATTTAAAATTGTTTGCTATGGTGCCTAGGTCAGTTAAAAACAAAATTTGAATATATAGTTTTCTGAACAAGAAAAAAGTAACTATTTTGGCTATAGAACTGGACAAAAATTTCCTGCTGAGATTTTTACACAAAATATTTAAATATTTGGTGTATCTTTAATAACTGACCATAAGAGATTTTAAACAAAATATTTACAAATTTGAACAATACCTGAACATTAGAGTTTTGAAACACAATATTTGAATATTTCAAGTATCTTTAAAACTTGAAAGATTAGAAATAAAATAATTAAACAATAGAAGTATCTTTGGAAACATGAACGTAACAAATTTGAAACAAAATATTCACACATTATAAGTCCCTTTAAAACCTGAACATTAGAGATTCGAAATAAAACATTTGATTTCAAAAAGCAACAATATTACAATTTAAAATTGTTTGCTATGGTGCCTAGGTCAGTTAAAAACAAAATTTGAATATATAGTTTTCTGAACAAGAAAAAAGTAACTATTTTGGCTATGGAACTGGGCAAAAATCTCCTGCTGAGATTTTTACACAAAATATTTAAATATTTGGAGTATCTTTAATGACTGACCATAAGAGATTTTAAACAAAATATTTACAAATTTGAACAATACCTGAACATTAGAGATTTGAAACACAATATTTGAATATTTCAAGTATCTTTAAAACTTGAATGTAGAAATTTTAAACAAAATATTTAAACATTAGAAGTATCTTTAAAATGTGAATGTAGAGATTTTAAACAAAATATTTACAAATTTGATCAAATATTACAATTTAAAATTGTTTGCTATGGTGCCTAGGTCAGTTAAAAACAAAATTTGAATATATAGTTTTCTGAACAAGAAAAAAGTAACTATTTTGGCTATGGAACTGGGAAAAAATTTCCTGCTGAGATTTTTACACAAAATATTTAAATATTTGGAGTATTTTTAATAACTGACCATAAGAGATTTTAAACAAAATATTTACAAATTTGAACAATACCTGAACATTAGAGATTTGAAACACAATATTTGAATATTTCAAGTATCTTTAAAACTTGAAAGATTAGAAATAAAATAATTAAACAATAGAAGTATCTTTGGAAACATGAACGTAACAAATTTGAAACAAAATATTTACACATTATAAGTCCCTTTAAAACCTGAACATTAGAGATTCGAAATAAAACATTTGATTTCAAAAAGCAACAATATTACAATTTAAAATTGTTTGCTATGGTGCCTAGGTCAGTTAAAAACAAAATTTGAAAATATAGTTTTCTGAACAAGAAAAAAGTAACTATTTTGGCTATGGAACTGGGCAAAAATCTCCTGCTGAGATTTACATTATGAAATAACAATGATAGGAAGAACAAAACTTAATAATATGAAAAATTATATATCTAATTTTATATTTAATTTAGTGAATTTGAATTTTAACTACTAACAAAATGATTTCAGCCTATAAGAATGCTATTTGGCATTCAAGGGGTGATCATATTTCTATTTGATGAAAGAGCAAGCACAGACACAACCTAAGATATCGGACATCCTAATTTGGGAGCTGTAAGGCTTCAACAGTTAGAACAAAGCAAAACCTTTTTTTTTAACAATACAAAAGTTGTTAGTTTGACTGCCATATGCATTGGTGCATATCTACTGTGCCACACAGCAGAAACATGGTATAAATTTGAATTAGAGTGTATTCCTCTACAAATCTAAACTTAATCTAATAAATGCTTTTTGAAGGCGATTTTGAAGATTATGGTTGTGTAACGCAAAAAGATTTGACGGTGCACAATGACAAAACAGGAAAGAAAGCAAAGCTGAGATAAAGATTCATGGTGAACTACTTGTTGGACTCTAAAATGTTATGTTTTAATTAATATTTTGTTGTTATCTTCGGTGGGTTACTGTCCTGGGGGTTTGTGTTGCGATGGTTTGTTTTTTTGTTCAGGGGGTTAATGTCCAGATTTATTTTCACAAGACACCCTCTAATTTAGCTGGCCAACATGTAATAGCATCAATCTTTAGCAAAAGACTAAATTAAGTTACAATCAAACTGCTAAAATAAAAAACTTAACTAGCATTATGTTTTTCATCTTCATAAGTACCTAGTATGATTCTTTAGAAAAATATATCCTCCTTTACAAATTTGATTTATTGTTGTGAAAGATAGTTTTAAATAGGTTTACTAAAAATATGCTCTATGTACAACAGAAAAACTGTTGAATAAGAATAGAAAATAGAAAAAAAAAGTGAATTATTTATAGTTCATTAATCATCTCTTAAGCAACCATGGTACTTAAACAATATTATACCAGAGCAAGCAATGCAAAAATAAAATTGAAAATTTGAATAATCAAATTTAAAAAAAAAATAGTCACATATGATTATATAGGCTTAACAAGAGAAATATGAACTGTATTATGGAAAACTGATTAAAACATTTTTCATAACACTTTTCAAAATTTTGCTCATAATGTAACATAACAATGATAAAATAACTAAAAAAAAAACCCACTTGTACAAACTTGTAAGGTACTTTTCATAAATGGGAATGTTCAAAAACATTTAATAGGTTTCAATGATTATCAAACCTTTTTTAGACATGATTAAAGTGTTTTAGAGGGGTCTACAACAAAGTCCCGAAAGGAACTGCCTAAATGGACGCTTGCCCGTTAAATGTTAACATTATATATTATCAAGTAGACATTTTTAAAAAATTAATAATTTGATAATCAACACAATTCTAAGCAAAAAAAAAAAAAAAAAAAAAAAAAACAGAAATGTTTATATTTTTAAAATTTTTGACAAAAGAGTAATTGCTGTAAAAATTTAAAAATGTATTCTTCAAATCTTTTTTAAGGGTTGTGTTGGTGTCTTTACATTACGGTATTTTTATTAATTACTGTATTGAGCATTAAAGTTTAGACGATGTTGCGTCTCGCATCATTGAACAAGGCGCATAGATTTAGCATGTTAAGCCTGTTTTGTGTGGTGATCGTTTCACAAAAGAACGAGGCACGGTCAAGGTGAAAATATTGAAAACTAAATGTGGTCACTATTTTGATCTCCATTCAATGCACCTTGCTTAAAAAATGTGTTAAAGCAATTACTTAATAAATAAATTGAGATTCATTATAAAAAATCTGAGATAAAATGTTTTTTTTTCTTTAATATAAAAAAAATTGCTTTACACTTTATATAATGCAAATCCAAATTTATTAAAAATGTCAACCTGACTTGGTAGTACAACAATCATTTATAATATATAACCAGAAAGTACATCTGTTTAAACAGCAATGACAACTTTAGAGAACTGGTTTTAAAACAACAAAACAAATATTTTTTTTACTTGAGAAAATAATAATGACTTTTTTGTGGAAAATGCAAATACAGCCACAACAAACTTGCAACATGTTTATTGTTTTCTTTTAACTAAGTAGCATTAACAGCCTATCATATTTTAAATTCAGGCATATTAAAAAGTTAATCTAGCAAATATATCCATAACACACCCTCTAAACCTTTTCTAGGACTGACAAAAAAATTTTATTTATATCATTTACAACATTTTAATAAAAAAATATAATGACCAATTTTCATTTGTTTTCATATTCATAATTATTCAATATATTACTTACATTGTGAAGTAAAGCAAAATATGATAGAATTCTAACTAACAAAACAGAACATCCTCAAACAAATTTTGGCAGAAAAATTTCAAACTGATGATCTCTGATATCAATTCTAATTAAGACTGCTTATCTATACTTGTAAATGTATCAGGCTGCCTCTTATCAAATCCTCTGCATTTAGTTTAAGCTCCTACAACTAGTTTTACAATACAGGCCATTTAATTGGAGGCTTCACTGCTCTTCTCATATAAATGGCTGTAAAATCTTTAACTGCAACAAAAAAAGAATATTGCAATAATTTTTACACACCTCAATAGCACAAGTTTGATAGGCTAGTTGAGCAAATGACATTAAAAAATAATAAATATCTTATTGTACTAGATGATCAGCAGCATTTTTCTGTTCTTAATTCTTTATGTAAACGACAATCAATTTAGAGAATGTCAGAATCGTGTGGACAACTCAATAATGTACTGTTCCTTATCCCTTCCACTTTCTTCTACTCTAATCAACAAAATGAAATAAAAGAATGCAATCAGAAAGCTAAAAAAGCAAAAAACTTAACCTAAGTCATTTTGGAAGCTTAGGCTATTTCAAATGGGATCCAGGCATAGGCAGATAAAGTATTTGGGAATGCCAACTATGTGTTAAATTTTAAGACAAAAAAATGACACTATATTTACGTGATCAAGAAGAGTGATGCATTGATACATTATGATTTAAACTTTGTACAACCTTATAACAGAAGAAAACAACAGAGATGATGAAACTAAATTTAAAGCGTGGATTAGGAAAACATGCAAGTCTATATGCAGTGTAATTCTATGGCAGAAGATTTTATTTGAAATTAGCTTGTTTGTCATAAATTGCTGCAATGTTAGCAGAAATGAAATTCAAAGAAACACTTAATTATAACATTTAATTGCTACCAATGATGTATTTTTAGGCATGTGACGTTTGTTTAAAGAAAAAGTTACTATTTCCAGCCTGTGGGTTATGGGCAGATGAAAAGAGTTCAACTATTTCTATAACTTTGGTAAATGAAGGGGTAGTGTGGTCAGCACTAGGCCCAGACGCTTTTACTATTTATCCTAAACGTGAGTCAGGTACCCAATAGAGCTGGGTGGAATCAGAAACGTCCTACGAATTCAAATCTCAGTTATAAGTTCTACATTACCATTAGACCACTATGTACAGAACACATTTAAGCTAAAAGGGATGTTATTAATAAAAAAATCTAGTAGAATGTTATTTTAAAGAAATGCATCATACTGTGAACACAATGTATAAAAAGTCTTAAGAGGTATAGTGAAAGTTTACCTTTTTTAGTGATACAAAGGTATGCCTGAAGTCCAAATCCACAAAATTGTCTTTTGCCTTTTAAACAACTACAATGTAATGATCTTTTATGGACATGTTCAGTTATTAAGTACCTATCTCCACCATTTCTGTGAAATGAAATATTGAGGGACATAAGCATAAACATACATGACATGCAATGTCTGCTGGAGAGGAGCTAGTCGGCAGTGCATGTTGCATTAAAAAAGCTAGTGTGTAAGAAGATTTACAACTAGTACAGTAAAATAATAAACTACAAACATGTTATCATGTGTTATTCACAATATGTGAAACAAACTTGACCTCAATATACTACAAATTTTATAAAAATAAAGATCGTTATTTAATACGACTAATAGTTATATAATTACCTGTTTTTCTGGGTTTTTTTTAAAACAATCGCTGCACTATACATTTTTAGGCTACATTTTGTTAGTTTTGTATTCGCAGTACCAGTTGTAAATTCTTTTACATTTATTATTTAACTATTTATGCAGGAAACAGGAAAAAATAAAAGCGAAATCATTATTATTAACATACATCTTGGAAAATACCAAGTGCATAATTGACCATCTAAAAACCATTTCCTAAAGGCAAGAAAATATGAGATTTAAAGATTAATGGATATCTACATTTTATTTTTTAAATTATGGGAATGAAAATTTATTTTAAAAAGAAGATATTTTTCTTTCTTAATTATCCAGTACCGACGAATTCCATTTTATCTATGATTATATATAATATTTAATTAGAATACTAAAATCACCTAAATGCACTTTTAAACAAGATGCTTAGAATAGAAACTGAAAGACAGGGACTTTAAATGATGCTGCTTTTACCAGTCCAGTATGTGTGAAATGATCAACTCGACACATTGGCTAAACAAGTTATTCTACACAAGTATCAAAAGAAGTGAATTTTTTCAATTTAAAAAACTGACCATCCAAAGTGCACAAATGTCATCAATAGAGATCGAACAGCTGACAGCATATTACAAAGATATAGCATGAAAGCTACCCACATTATATAAGGATAAAGAGAACATTAAATATAAAAATAGTTTTTAACATCTATTACAGTAAGAGAGGTTGTACTAAGATCCGTTTATGTGGTTTTATTTAGTAAAAAATCATCAGAAAATGGAGAATAAATTATCTACTCTCAAACACTTCACTGATAATGCTAGAAGAATTTATTCTCCTACTCAGCTGGTGAACCAGCTTTGAAAAGACTATATTTTAACTTTTATAAATTGGCTCTTACCTCCAACGCAAACTTGATTCCTGTGGGGTTGAAAAATTTTCATCATCCTTTAATATATCATTAGAATTTCCACATAAACCTGTAGAATACATATTGTAATTCATTTTTTATAAGCTGATATGTGATTAAAGACAAAGATTAGGAATTTTTGTATAAAATGTACACTACTTAATAATTATATCTGCAGATAACAAACTGAAAGAACTCTTTTAATCACGCATTTAATTATAAAAATAAAAACAGGCATTTTTTTTTCAAATGTGCAATGGTTTTTACTTTACGTCAGTAAAGGATTGCTTAAAAAAAAATCAAAACAAAAAAAAGTGTATAGGTTTATAATAATACCTGTAGTATTGGATTTGTCATAACCTGAACTATATATTTCAACACTTTGCCTGAGGTAGTTATCTCTTTGTACTAACACTCTAGTTCCAGTTGGAAATGTCACCTTATGGTTAAAAATGTACATTTATTAAATACAGTTCAATCTTAAGATTGCATATGAAATTATAATCAAACAATTATTATAAAAACTAATTGATGTTGGCCAAAAATAATCTAGCAGGTATAATGCACTATTTCACTTACTATAAAGGACCAGTAATCAGAATGTTTTTCAAGTTTACTGGAAATTTGTGCATCAGGAGAGAAGATCTGTATATCCTCACCGTGCACTCTATAAAAATAACAAAAATAGATTGGTTTGTTATAATAAATCCAAGCAAGTAAGACAAGATTATTTCTTATGTTTATTACCCTGTCATAAATTAAGTAACAATTTGATTACATTTTATAAATGATAACTAAATTAAGTAACTTTAGTTTTAATCAAGTAAAAATTTAGAAATTAATCACCTGAACAAAATGAAGTCATCCTCGCTCACCACAACTACCTCTCCTATGCATGTTGCACCTATCATTTTTTCACCCTTATTTGTGCAGTCACAAAGTTTTATGTACACCTGGGGGAAAAACATACATTTAATCATATTTATATTAGAGCTTAACTTTTCAGAGAGCAAAAGAATTACTTTGTTTTCAAAATAGTGTTTCCTGATATTTTAGTCTACTGTTGAGTAATAAAAATAATTCCTATTTCATCTATTCTAATTTAGTAGACTTGTTGATAAAATACAGGTAATAACCAATCACTAAACAATAGTTTGTGATACATTTAACAATTATCTTTATTAAAAGGTAACAGCTAGGCAAGTGGGATGGTGTGGTCAAACTGTAGTCTTGAGCCCATGGAACATCCTGAAGTCAACCAGCATTGATGGATACCTGACTTGTGTTAGGAAAAGCAAAGGTGACTGGGCATAGTGCTGACCACACTATTCACACTATATGCTGAGGTCATAGAAACAGGTGAACTCTCTTTCATCAAAAAGTAGGCTGGTTCAAAATGGTAGCTTGATTTTTTTAACCAGTTGGGCAATATCAACAGGTACAGTGACAAATAACATTTGTTAATTTTTTTATAGCTATAGGCAAGTGGTTCTTAATCTGTTTGATTGAACCCCTTGGGTTCAATGAGACAATCTAGGGTTTGGCAGCAGTCAGGACACAAACCAAACTCATTATATGATTCCCAATCAGATTTCGTCAACGTTGATGATTGAACTATTAAAAAGGGTTTGATGAATGCATATATGAAACTCGTAGGGTTTGGTACCTTCTAAAAATGAGAAGAATCACTGCAATAGGCTAAGGGGTCATCCATTTATGACGTCCACAAAAACTTGGAAATTAGATGACCCTCCCCCCCTCCCCCATCCACAGGCGTCCTCTTTCAATGAACCCCTCCCCACTTCCCCCTTGTGTGTGATGTCCACAAGAATTTAATAGACCCCTCTGAAACTTATAACTAATTCACTATTTCAACAACATGTGTACCTATTTACTAATACACAGCTTTAATATTCATACCTAAATATTAAAAGTAGAATGTAGAGAGCAGAGAGAAAAATAGTATGTTTTAAACGTCCAAGTATTAATACATTATTTTTTTCAAGAATTTTCCAAAATATATAGTTTAGGTGCTGGTGGAATGGGAGGCGGGTGCTAACAGTGTAATTATCTGTACTCATTTAATGCATTTTTATATATTAATATTAGCATATTGGCCTATAAGATTAATAAGTCGCAAGGCCTCCTCTGGTTCATTACTTCTATTTCTGTTTATTTAATTGCTCCAAAGAGGTGCTACATTTGTTCGTCAATAAATGACGTCACAGTCCGGTTAAAACCAAATCTAAGCTGTTGCTTCACGTAGTTAATTTTTTTAAAAATTAAATTAAAATTAATCTAGACCTACTCAACATTAACCATGCTGAGTAAATATGTTAGAAAAAAAAGTTCTTTGAAAATACAATTTTGAGAGGTGTGGTGGGCCTTCTGATGAACTCAGCTTTAACTGTGATGTCATTTTCCCATTGAAAAAAAACATTAATAGAAACGAATCAAAGTATTTAAAAGCGCTATCAAAAAAACAAAACTTTAATTTTATAAAGAAAAATCAACTAACTAGGGGAGAAAAGATCACTAGAATATACTCAACAACTTACTTCAAACATCTCATATTCCCTTTTGTACAGAAGAAACAATCCTGTTTCCATGAAGTTAAATGTGCTAAAAAAGAATACAAAGTGATTTTAAATAAACTAATTTTAAGAAAGCCTTTAAAAACACAATTTAGGTTCATATGATGACAGTGGCAGAACTAGAAAAAAAGGGCCACCCAGCAAAAAAATTTTTTGCCCCCCCCCCCCCCCAATATATATATATATATATATATATATATATATATATATATATATATTTATATATATATATATATATATATATATATATATATATATATATATATATAAACAAGTTACAACAACATGTCTTGTGCGTGAGTGCATTAGTCTGTTTTGAAATTATTATTTTTTTTAATGAATGTATGTTGTCAGATAAATCTTCTTCTCTTCTTAATCCCATTCGTGTCCAAGACACATGGGACAGATGAAGTAGAGTTCGTCTGATTCATTGACCATGGCATATGAAGGGATGGTGTGGTCAGCACTATGCCCAGCTGCCTTTATTTCCCTAACCTAAGTTAGGTACCCATCAGAGCTGGGTGAAGTCAGGGACTTTCCACTGATTTGAACCCAGATTCTAACTCGAGACTCTCAGGTTAGCAGTCTAGCTCTCTACCGCTAGGCCTCGCCGTCCCTTTTATTAAAACAAATTACAAAACGTCATGTGCGTGATTGCTTTAGTCTATTTAGAAAATCTCTGTTTAATTTTATGTCAGTCGTAATACTTCTTACAACTTACTTGAGTCGGTCAAAAAAATATGAAACGTAAAAGCTTTATATGTATAATGGTTTCTCGTGTTATGTTTATTTTTATGGGTTTTTTTGCCTTGTTATTATTAATTTTAAATACATTTCCTTTTTAAACTATGTCATTCTTTAGTATTTTTAAAAAAATAAACCAGTAGTGATCTCCCCTAAACTTTCTCTAATATTTATAATAATATATAACACTAAGGGGGATGACAGCTCGGAATATAGACATGGTTTTTATTCTATTTCTAATTACTCAAATTTTTAAAAATAGAATAGAATCTCATTGAAAAAAGAATTGCGCACCAAGCGAACCCCAAACAATCTGCATTTAATAGTGCAGGATATTATTAGTACTTTATAAATTCACATGCAGTTTTTTTGAGAAATCGGAAATAGCAAAAATTACTTCTTCCAGTCAACAGATATTACTCAAAATTTGACAGAAGACAGAGAATTAGATCGTTTACTTACATGTGAAATTTCATTTATCTATCTGAAATAGTACTCAAGTTATAGGCTTTTGAAAAATTGAAAGTAGAAAAAGTGCCACTGGCACCTTGATAGTGGTTTTATAAATAACAAACAGATCTACTACAGTTGTGATGTTATACAGTAGCAAACACTAAGTATAGAGAAAGTCTTGTAATCGTGCAAAAAAAAATCAAGGTGCCAGTGGCGGAACTTGA